CCCATCCTGTGGAATGTCCTGTACGACGGGGTGTTGAGGCTACAGATGCCAAGGGGATGCACTCTTGTAGCTTATGCTGATGATCTCGCACTGGTTGCGAAGGCGAGTCAGAAAACGGACATGGCTAATGCGGCTAATACAGCCCTGCGTCGCATGAGTAGGTGGATCAGAGAGAACGATCTACAGCTAGCGCCTCAGAAAACTGAGGTGTTAGTTCTCAAAGGGACCCGGAAGATCTTCTCTTCGCTTTATAGTGGAAGGCGTGGAGGTTGCACCGGTAGCAAAGGTGCTAAATGGAGTTTTCCAGTCGGTAGTAACCTACGTTGCCCCTGTGTTGTGTAGTGTACTAAACACTTCGAAATACGCTAAGCTGATGGAGACTTCGCAAAGGCGAATGCTCCTCAGGGTGTCTAGTGCATATAGGACAGTCTCGAATGAGGCTCTATATGTCATTGGAGTGGTTATACCGATCGTTTTGTTGTGTAAAGAGCGAGCGAGGATGTATGCGAGGAGGATGGATGTAAATATATATGAGAATGAAAGAGAAAGAACGATAGTAGAGTGGCAGAGAGAATGGGCAAATGCTTGTTGAAAAGCAAGGTGGACGAAGGAGCTTATTCCCGATCTGAGACCGTGGTGGGAATGTAAGTTCAGGAAACTAGACTACTTCCTGACGCAGTTTCTGACCGGACATGGTAGTTTTGGCACCTTCATAAGTAGAATAGGCAAATCTGCCTCGGCAGACTGTACTGTTTGTGCGGTACCGGATGCTCCCGCCCACATTTTTAACCGCTAGAGATGGGCAAATGAGATGGGAGATTTCTGGGGTGACGAAGAAAAAGGAGCAGGAGGACAGAGGACGAAATTAAGCCAGGGATCTAAAAATTTATAGTTAGTATTGTTTATTAGTTTATGGCCTAACGTCTAAACATTTTTTGATTTACGGTGATAGGTATGGTTGTATATAAATTTTTAGTTTTTTATTTTAGTTGTTTGTTGAGTGGCAAGACCACCTCTCTGGAACGGTGGTTAAGGTTTTAGCCGGAACACGGTTAATCCGGTACTACCCTGTGGTCTTCTGGCTTTGTATCCCACTCGACCGAAAGATACCAGGGTGTCTTGTTCCGTGACGTAGAGGTCCAAAAAAGATTTCCCCCACCGTTGCCTGCCAGAATTCAATGGATACCTTCTTAGGCTCCTACTGCTAATTAAAAAAAAATGTAACTTAACCTAAGTATGCAAATAACACAGCAAAACTACTAAAAAATAACTTAATACTTTGTATTGCCTCCCTTAGCCTATATAACTGCCTGTACACGTCAGCTCATGCTGTCTATGAGGTTACGAATATCATCTTGCTGGATGTTTTGCCATTCCTCTTTCTAGAGCCAAGCGAAGTTCGTTAATTGAGACTGGTATCAAGCATGTCACAAACGTGCTCTATTGGGTTCAGATCTGGCGAACACGCTGGTCAGATCATTTTATTAATACCAACTTCCTTTAAATATTGCATGACACACATTGCAGAGTGGGATCGCGCATTATCTTGCATTAATAGAAAATCATCGCCGATAGATTGAGAAAAGGGTACTACGTGATTCACTAAAATTTCCTCAATATACCGGTGTGCAGTCAATGAACCCTCAATAAATACCAATTCAGTGTGCGCCTCTCGGGATATTCCTGCCGATATCCATCACCGAACCATGTCCATGACTAACGCGGGGACTGAAAGCGCACTCCGCAAATCTCTCTTCAGTTCGACGCCATACTCTTCTCTCTTCTAAATGTTCCCTGGAAAATTGTACTCTAGCCACTCTGTGCCGTAGAAGTAATTTGGCCCCAGCTGCTGGTCTGCAGCTTTGCAAACCAAGTTCATGTAATCTTCGACGAACTATAATATAACACATGTGATGTTGAGAAACATTTGTTCTTCAAGAAACTTACTTATGTTAGAGGCAGTAGCCGTGCACAGAGTATGTAACAATGTATATTTCTAAAACCAGTCAGCACAAACTATGAGCCACGTAAAACCATTTTTACTTCTGGTCAAAGGGCCTATCAAATCGACAGCGATAATTTGCCACGGATATTCAGTTTTTTTCCCCTTACCCATTTTTTCCATTTGTGCGGTATTGGGTGCTTTTTGTGCTTCAAACGTTTTTCAAGCACGAACATACTTAACTACATCTTTTCGCATCTTCGGCCAGTAATAGTGTCCTTGAATTCGAGCAAGAGTTTTATAAACATCTGGATGTGCACAAGTGACTGGATCATGACATGAATTGATGACATCTTCACCTTGAGGTTTCGGCACAAGAATTTTTTATTCTAGTTTGGTTTTAGACAAAATAGAGCTCAAAATAGATGTGTTTGTTGTTTTGAATGTTGTTGAAATGTTGAATTTATTTCCTATACAGTTTTTCTGATAATCCTTTTATGTATGGTATTGTTATTTTCCTCGTATTATTCTTTGTGTATGCTGTAGGATCTGCGCAGATAAAAAGTTATCAAAGAAGATTAATTACACCTCATTACAGTTAGACTCCTCATTTTTATGGAGTACCGAAAGCTCATAAAACAAATTTACCACTTAGACCCATTTGTAGTACAATGAATTCTTCTTGTAGTGAACTATCAAAATTTTTATTAAATATTATACAACCGTTTGCAAATAAAAATAATAACATTTATAAAAAATACAAACATTTTTTTTAAATTAACAAATATTAATTTTAATTCAAATAATATTTTGGTAAGTTTTGACATAAATAGTTTATTTACGAATGTGCCAATATATAAGACCTTAAATATAGTCAAGACAAAATTAGAGAGTGATGATACAACTAGAAAAAGACTAAACATATTTATTAGCTATAATGGAGTTATTAACATTATGTACTGATAATACATATTTTCAACTAAATAATTCTATAAACAAAATTTTGGTCTAGCAATGGGCTCTAGTTTATCTCCGTTATTACCCGATATATTTATGGAAGATTTTGAAACAAATATTATTTCTAAACAAAATTTAAAACCCACAGTATGGTGGAGATACGTAGATGATGTATTCTCAATATGGCCTCATGGATCAGAGTTGTTGGACACATTCCTGAATGATATAAACGATAAAGAAGAGAAAATAACAGTTACCATGGAAAAGGAATATAATAACACACTACCTTTCCTGGATGTTTTAATCTCTAAGAATGATACTGGATATTAGACACAGGTGTATAGAAAACCAACACACCAATAGATAGTTAAATTTCAAATCGCAATATAACTATTAAAAACGAAATCATTAAGTCCTTATACGATAGAGCCCAAATTAATTGTTCTAACGAAAATTCGTTCTTGGAGGAAAACATTTGTTAACATCTGTTTTATTAAAAAATGATTATCCTTTATCGTTTATAAATAAGGTATTTTTAACAATCAACCGAATAGAACAGAACAACTTGGAACGAGATCCTACAGCATACACAAGGAATAATACGGAAAAAATAATATCATACATAATATGATCATCAAAAAAACTTAAAAAGATAGGAAATAAATTCAACATTTAAACAATATTCAAAACAATAAACTCATTGAGATCTATTTTGTCTAAAACGAAACCTAACAATGAACAAGAAAGGACAAAGAATTGTATTTATAAAATGCCTTGTGAATGCGATCAGTTTTATTTAGGTGAAACATCAAGGCCTTTAAATGTTAGAATAAGTGAACATCAATTTTATATTAAAAATAGAGAATTTGATAGATCTCAAATATGTAATTACGCATGGGATAATAAACATAGGGTTTAATGGAATGGTTCAAGTATAGTCTTAAAAGAAACGGATGGTAAAAAGAGAAAAATCAAAGAAGCGGCTCTAATCATGCTAAATGAGACCAATTGTGTCGCAAATTCCTCGGCAGAATGTAGTAGAATCTGGTTACCCATATGAAAAGAGGAAGTTAATAAAAGAAAAATACTAGCATTACTAAGTCAATAACATATCAACGATACATCATTTATGTTTTATAAATAACAAACATATACAATCTGAATTTGGTGTTTATTGAAAGTAAACTAACTGTACGACCAAATACTTACCATGTCAGGGTAGTATTATGAGGTTTTTTCCTGGTTATTCCCTCATAATTTATTATGGAATCACTAACAGGAGAATTTTACTGTCATCATGGCATGTGGTTGTCTTTTTAAAGACGAATTACATGCTATGATTTATTCTGTCGGATATTCTTAAGGTAAAGTTGATTTCACGTAATCGAATGAGCTATCTTACAAGTAAAGTTGTTCCAGGAACGCAACTCAATAATATTGGCAATATCATTTTTAAAGTCGTCTACTTTAAAATGTATAATGTATGTCTGAATTGTCAATATAAATAAGTAAGATAAAATTAAATTATTAAAAGAATTAAATCCGTAGAATAGTTTTCGAAACCAATTATCAGATGTCGCTATTGCGTCCATATCGAAGCCATTTTAATGATGCTTCTTAAAGACAGAAAAGATTTATTTTTCACGTTGAGAACGCCTGTGAATAGCTGTTCTGATGAGGCTTATTAGGCCGAAATGCGTATAAACAGATACATAGACGCTTTGTACGTGAAATCTAATCTTTACTGTCTTTTTCATTTTATTAGAAGAATTGTTCACCAAGTTAAAAAAAACAAAATTTGTTTAATTTACTAATGTTTGTATTTTAAGAACGATTTCCGAAGTGGAAAATGAAACGTCAATAAACTTACTTCAACCTTTAATTGTGGCTTATTCCCATTTAAATAATAATTACTTTAAAATGCCATAAATAGCTTCAGAACAATATTCTTTAACATTGGTAACAATAACAGTAATAGTATAGACACTATGGCAATACTATATACAACTACATCTACACGTTTTCGTGGCATAGCCAGCCCGGAATAAATTTAAGTTTTAAAAAGTTTTTCTAATTAAAGGTAACAGAAACAACAGGTATGTATATACATATTTTATTTAAGCAAACAACAGTAAATTAATAACATTCCATCAACTATTTAGTGATGGAAGAAGTATTATCGCTTCTGTATTATAAATTAGTTTTACTTTTTATCCATGAACGAAAGAATGCGACTTCCGTGAAGAATGTGAATTTTCTCTTTTTATTACGACCACCGCCGGATACCACTCCCAACAGTACACCGTTATATTCTAAAGGACCTCCTGAATCGCCCTAAAATGTTTTGCGACTATCAGTTGTTAGGAAAAAATTTAATTTACAAGAAAGTTAATTTCATCAAAAAAGCTGTTCAAAACAGAAGCATCTATTGAAATTGCAGTAAAAGAGTAAATTATTCATAAAAACTATAATAAAAATTTGAGAAGGTATAGATAATTAAAAGTATTTTGGCAAATTTTGAACAAACTTCATGTTTTCGTTTTCGAAAAACCCAAAAAAACTACTTTTTTCCAAGTATAAAGCAGGAAAACCAGACATACAATTTTGTTAATTTTCTTAAAGCGTAATGATATAACCCTAAAAAATCCTTATGAATTTTTTGAAAATTTTTGAATGAACAATTTTGCCACAATAGGTGTTAAAACTTTAGACTTAAATATTAAAACTTTCGAGCAACCCCGTATACTACACCTCAAGTTAAGTACACCCCTCGAGAGGGGATGCAAGTAGCGGAGGAGAAGCCAGTCACAGTCCACGCTCAACTCGAGTCGCAACAACATCATTACGCTTAGGACGCTATTTTTACATTGATCGTTAACAAATATTTTAAATGTGCTATTTTTTACTTCAATACAGTTTTAGTTTAAGTGATTTGTTTTTGTATTATTACGTGAAATTCCAATAAGATTTAACCTACATCCTACACATAATTTGGTTCTTCGAGCGGATTACCCAGTGATCATTTGGCTGTACATTCCATGTAAGCTGTATTCATTTTCGACGAATTTGCCGTCCCTTATACACAGTTTAGCAACGGAAGAATTCAGATAATCTGTCACCAAGGTTAGTGCATTTATAATTTCTTTACCTACCTTATCCTTTATGGTCGGTAAAAGGGTACACTTGTATTTTATGTAATTCAGTGGAAATATTGATTTTTAAAAGCAGGTATTTTAATGCTTTAACACATTTCGAGATTTTAATATTTTCATTTATACATTAATACATAGCATCCTTAAATTTATTTCAATTTTTTCATTTTACATTTATAAATTATTACAAAGTTGAAATATTATCTTTAACGTTTTTTATTGACTCGCAAAGCATTTTTACACAACATTACATAATTAATTTTAATTGTTTTTTGCATATACATACATACATTTTTTCTTTTGTGAATATCTAAGTTATATTGTTACTATGGCTGACATCGCTGCAGCAAAAACTAAACGCTCTTCAATCAAAGGTTCTGTAACCCGTTTTAGTACGTATTTTAATTCTATCAAAAACAAACCTTTAGAACAAATTAACTTTAGGGATTTACAACTTAGACTTGATAGAATTGAAAAACTTTTTGATGATTTTGACAACGCTCAATCACTTATCGAGGCCTCTGATGAGGATTACACTGCCAACGCAGATACTATCCATGGCATTGAAAGGTCGTCTTTCGAAACGCCGTTTTTCCATATTACTAGCGCTGTGCGAGATTTTATTGACACCAATTTTTCAAAACCCTGTAGTCAGACTGCTCAAGCTTCAAATTCGACAATTTCGTCCGAAAATAGTTCACAAAGATCTATTAATATTAGGTTACCCGCTATTAACTTGCCCTCCTTTGAGCGTGACTATGAAAATTGGTTGTTTTTTAGGGATACATTTAATTCTATCATTCATACAAATACAGAACTTTCCAATATTCAGAAATTCCACTATCTAAGATTATCTTTACAAGGTATTGCCGCATAAACAATACGTAACTTGGACATTTCTGAGGCAACATATGAAACTGCGTGGGAGTTACTAAAAGACAGATTCGAAAACAAATCTCTTCTTGTCAATAATCACATTAAAAAATTATTTAACCTAGCAAATATTTCAAAAAATTCACATCATGATCTACGCACTTTACTTGATGGTTTCCAAAGACATTTACGCTCTCTTGAGTCCTTAGACTTAGACACAACATCTTGGGATGCTCTTATTATATATTTAATTACCACGAAACTAGACAATGCCACACACAAAGAATGGGAACTGTCAATTAAAGACGATAAGAACACATTACCCACTTTGAGTAGCTTAACTGAATTTTTAAAAGGTAAATGTAGAGTCTTAGAATCTATTAATCATCAAGAAGAAAAATCTCGTCCCAAATTTTCATCTACAGGCAATCCCAAATCCAAGAATTTCTTGTCAACGAATAATTCTTCCAACTGTTCTTTATGCAAACAAAAACATCTAATTTACACTTGTCCTGATTTTCTTAAATTAGAAACGTCGTTAAGACATAATGAAGCAAAACGCTTGCGACTTTGCATAAATTGTCTGCGTAGTGGTCATTTCACTAAGGAATGCAAATCTTCCGGGTGTCGTAAATGTGGAAAAATACACCACACACTTTTACACTTTCAAAGTAACTCACAAATGCTTACTGAAACCAGTAATCAAACCATCAGCAGTTTACCTTGCTCTAGTCCAAGTACATCAGAAGGGTCTAATGCACTGACAGCACGTAACATTTCGTTTGAGCACAACTCTACTACTTTGCTGTCAACTGTAAAAATAAACGTCTTTGACATCTTAGATAACGAACACGAGGCTCGTGCATTTCTAGATAACGGCTCTGAAAGTAATTTCATTTCCCAGCGCCTATTAAATCTTCTTAGGTTGCCTACAACCAAAACACATTTTTCTATTTCTGGTATAAACCAAACAAATTCTATTGTAAGCTACAGAACATCGGTCAAATTTAAGTCCAAAACTTTAAACTTTTCTCAAGTAATTTCTTGCTTAGTGCTTCCTGAAATTGCAGGAAATTTACCTTCTGTCACATTCGATAAGAGAACACTTAATATCCCTTCTAATATTACTCTGGTTGATCCAGACTTCAATATTTCATCTCCTATTGATCTTCTTATCGGTGCAGACATCTTCTGGAATTTAATTTGTATTGGTCAGATTAAATTATCACCTGGACAACCGATTTTTCAAAAAACTAAACTTGGATGGATTATCTCAGGTCCATTATTTCCAAACAATACCCTTGCAGCCAGAACTACATGCCATTTGTCGACCATAAACAAGTTGAGCATTGAAGATCAATTTCAAAAATTCGGGGAAATTGAAGAATGCCCAAAAACAAAATTTTTGTCTAACGAAGAACTTTCTTGTGGAGATCACTTCTTAAAAACAACCTCTCTTAATTCTTCTGGTAGGTTTGTAGTATCACTTCCCTTGAAATCTTCCGCCGACAATCTAGGCGACTCTAAGACTACAGCAACAAAAAGGTTCTATTCTCTCGAAAGGAAACTTAATGCGAATTTTGAATTAAAAGATGATTACACTCGATTTATCGATGAATATTTATCCTTACACCATATGTCCGTTTCACCCTTTGAAACCACAGGCTATGAGTTCTTTCTTCCTCATCATTGTGTCTATAAAGGCAATAAAATTCGTGTTGTTTTTGACGGTTCTGCCAATACAGATTCAGGTGTTTCCCTGAATGACATTCTTATGGTTGGACCTACTTTACAAGATGATCTTTTTACTATCATCTCACATTTTCGTAAACATAATTTTGTACTAACAGCTGATATAGAAAAGATGTATCGACAAATACTGATAAAGGAGGAAGAACGCTCCTTACAAAAGATCATATGGCGATCTGATCATACAAACTCTCTCGAAACTTTTACTTTAAACACCGTTACTTACGGTACTGCTTCTGCTAGTTTTCTTGCCACTAGATGTCTTCAAGAAGTGGCCCGTATGTATGCAACTGATTTTCCCGACATATCTTCTATAATTTTACGGGACTTTTATGTCGACGATCTTCACACAGGTGGTTCTACAATAGAAGATATCAAACGTATTCAATCACTTACTTCCGAATTATTGTCTCGTCATGGTTTTCAATTGAGAAAATGGAAGTCAAACGCCCCAATTTTAAACTTTGACAATCAAAATAATGTTTCCTTGGAAATTGGAGCTGACGATACTATCAAAACTTTGGGTTCACTTTTCATTTCAATGTTCAACCTATAGAGCACAAGTGTAAAGTTACAAAGAGACTTATTCTTTCTACTATATCAAAAATATTTGATCCACTAGGTTTGATTTCGGCTGTAACTATAACAGCTAAAATTATTCTACAAGATTTGTGGAAACTAAAAATTTCTTGGGACGAAGTCGTTCCCATGGATATCTTTACGAAATGGGTTACATATCAGACTCAACTGGTTAAACTTAATCAGTTACAAATTCCTAGGCATGTAATTTGTACAAACTACAAGTCAATTCAACTACACGGTTTTTCAGATGCATCCACCACCGCATATGGTGCTTGCATTTATATTCGTTCATCTGAAAACTTTGAAAATTTTCATTGTCATCTACTTTGTTCCAAAACTAGAGTAGCTCCTTTAAAACACATTCTCATGGTACCGCGTCTAGAACTTTGTGGAGCTTACTTGCTAGCTGAGTTGATAGACAAGGTAAAACAACACATGCAATTAGATTTCGAAGAAATCACTTACTGGTGCGACTTCACTATTGTTCTAGGATGGATAAAGACTGCTCCGAGTTTGTTAAAGACATTTGTGGCAAATAGAGTTTCTCAAATTCAAACTTTGACCGAATCTCACACATGGCGTTACGTGAATACACTTGAGAATCCCGCAGATCTTCTTTCAAGGGGAATTTTTCCTACGTCACTTATCACTTCTGAAATGTGGTTTCATGGCCCATCATGGTTAGCTAAACCAGAAACTCATTGGCCTAATAGAACATTCGAACCTTCTGAACTCCCTGAGCTTCGACCAGTATCAGCCCTTATCTCAAGAGTTCAGATGAAATTGGATATCATCACTAAAATATCCTCATTTGTAAAACTACAACTCATTATTGCTTATGTATTACGCTTTATAAATAATTGTAAATTTTATACTACACGAAGGAGCTTTGACAACCTTGCTTGTGAGGAAATAGATAATGCTTTAAAATATTATTCGACTAGTACAAAATGAAACATTTTATGACGATTTGACACA